TATATATATATATATATATATATATATATATATATAGTGATGTGCATGGATGTGTGCAACATGAATCAGATCGTGATAAGATCACGATAATGAGACTGATTCACCTTTAAACATAAATCCTAAATAATCTTGGTCATAGGTTACTCGATAGGGACATCGAGATAACTGGACAAACTGATGTATTATATACTCGTCTATATAATGAAAACAACTAGTCTAATAGTTGTTCGTGTGGGGACACTAGGGCTACAATGCAGGTACTCATTGGAGAATGAGTTCATTGATTGATTCACTCATGAAATTCTATTGTTAATGATACTTCATTGTCAGACAACAATTCCGTTGTCCCAATAGTGTGTAAAGAAATCTAAGGGCAACATCACATGTGCTGCGGAAGAATAAAAAAATAAAAAAATCTAAATTTTTCAGAAATTATATTCGTCATCATGTGAAGATTAGTGTGCAAAATTCATAAAACTAAAAACTACATATATGAAAGATTGTATTACTTAAAGAGGTCGTATATCCCTTTAGATCTGTAAGAAATGATGAAGGAGGTCAAGCGTCCTCCTTTCTAGTAGTAATCTACACAATAGGGCTACGACGACACTCTTCTAATCTTTAGGCCTGCTATTTAAGGACGAGAAGCAAAGAGAAGAATATGAGATGACAATCAAGAGAAGCTCTAGCCTATGAACCTTGGTTCTCTTCTATTTATAGAGGCTCCTTGTCAACTTAACCATAATGGATCATGTCCTATTGGTTACTGGATCTCCATCCAACTACCTAAGCCTCTTAGATTAGTAGATCTCTATTCAATAATTTATCATTGGCTTTTATTGGATCTCAAGATCTAATAATTTAAAGGCTTATTGGATATCCAATAAGATAAGGGCTCCGATGGATATCTCATATCTGAACTGGTCATTAGTCATACCTATCAGAACTCCTTCTAGCTTAGTGAATTATTATTTTCATAATAATTCACTCGACTTATTGACTGCGGACGTACTAGGCCACTACGCTATAGTCCCCAAACTATACAGGGTAATCCAATCCATTGGACATGTCTATCCTCAGTTTCCATGTATCTATAGTCCCTCATCTATCTAATATCTCAAAGACCGTATACCGGGCATGGTGTTGTCAGGCTCATATAGTTTCTACTCGTGTCTCGCTCTAATTGGATTCTCTCGAATAACTCTTTCTCTCTCAATCCGAATGACCCTGGCTAGGGATTTGTTTGAGCAAGAACATATGTGATATTCCTCTCATGACACCGAGAGTGAATGATTCTCTATCAATACTCAATAGTCCTCGTAAGGTTAGCTGCTACTACCATTACCGATTGTGCTAAATTTGGAACTTTCAAACCTATAAATCTGATATCAAAGAGTGGAGTACTCATATAGGACATCCTTGATATCTCAAGTCTAAGGACCATGTACACCACTAGGACGACGGAATCGTTGTCTGATAATAAGGCATTATTAACCATTCAGTATTCCGTGAGTGGATCAATTAATGAACCCATTCTCTAATGAGCACTTGCATTGTAGCCCCAGTATCCTCACACGAGCAACTATGAGACCAACCACCTTCATCATATGTACGGGTATACAGTACACCAGTCTATCCGGTTATCTCAATGTCCCTCTTGAGCAACCTATGACCGAGATTATTTAAGATATATGTTTAAAGACGAATCAGTCTTATTATCGTGATCTCATCACGATCTGATTCCCATTGCATAAATTCATGAATATCACAATATATTTATACAACAAACAATATAAAGTGATAAAATATCAAATAATATAATAAGTAGAAAGAATACATATCATGTCACACGTGTCATCACTCATGTGATTGGCTTGTTGGGCACCTATGACTAACATGGTATACCTAATTCTTAAACTTGAGATACCAAGGATATTATGTATAAGTACTCCATTTTTTTATACTAGAATTATAGGTTTAGAAATTTCAGATCTAACACAACCGGTCATCGGGAGTGGCAATCAACCTTACGAGAGCTATTGAGTATCGATAGAGGATCATCTACTCTTGGTGGTATGAGAAAATTATCTTGTGTGTTCTTGTTTAACAAATCCCTAGCTATGGTCATTCAAATTGAAAGAGAAAAAGTTCTCCGGGAGAATCCAATTAGAGCGAGACTTGAGTAGAAACCGTATGGGTTTGATAGCACTATGCTCGGTATACGGTCTTTGGGATATTAGATAGATGATGAACTATAGATATACGATAATTGAGGACAAATATGATCCAAAGAATTGGATTCCCCTATATTATCTGGGGACAATGACGTAGTGGCCTAGTACGTCTACAGTCGATGAGTTGAGTGAATTATTATGAAGATAATTCACTAAGCCAAAAGGAGTTCTAACAGGTATGACTAATGACCAGCTTAATATTGGGCCTAGAGGGTCACACACATATGATAGGCATTACGCCGAATAGAGGTTTGGATATGAGATATCTACCGGAGCCTTTATCTTATTGGATATCTAATAAGCCCTTGAATTATTGGATTCTATAGATGAGATACAATAAGAGCCAATGAGTGATTATTGGATAGAGATCCACTAATTTAAGAGACTTGGCTAGTTGGATAAAGATCCAATACCTAATAGGGTAAGATCCATCTGAGTTAAGTTGATAGGGGGCCTCTATAGATAGGAGAGAACCAAAGGCTCATAGGTTAGAGGCTTCTTGGTTAAATCTCTTATTCTTCTCTTCCCTTCGCCTCTTGAGAGAGCAGGTGTGGAGATTTAGGCAGCGATTTGAGTAGTGTCATCGTAGCCCTTCTATGTTGATCACCACTAAAGAGAATGACGCTTGACCACCTTCATCCTCTCCTACAGATCTGCAAGGATTTAAGGATATACGATCTCCCTAGATAAAACATAACTATCTCACACGTGGATTTAAGTTTCGCAGGTTTTTTCGTACCAATCTTCGCACGACAACGAACATCTTTTTGAAAAATTTGAGATTTTTATTTTCTATTTTTCCACTGCGCATGTGATGTCGCTTCTAGATTTCCCTACAATATGTTATATTTTTAAAAATATATATGTTATTTTAGACACAAATAAAATATAAGAGTTTAAGTGGTTCATGATCAAAACTATAAGAGCTAAAATTAATCTTTTTTAAAAAAACTTAATTATATATCATTATATTAATAATTTATTATGAGTCAGCATGTAAGTAGATTTCTAACGTCTATTAACTCAGATTTGATAGAATGAGCTTATATGCTATATTTTTTAAAATATATAAGTTATTTTAGACACGAGTAAATAATAAGGACTTAAGTAGTATATGACACACACACATATATATATATATATATATATATATATATATATATATCATCAGAAAAACCTTCACCGCATAAGATGGATGAAATTAGATAATTATCAAGTTTTAGTTGCAAGATCTTCTAAAAACGATGTCAATGTTCAATGCTCGAGCATTTCTTATCCATAATGTATTTGATTTATTACCACGATGACCCTCCTCATAGAAGATGGGCAAAATTGGACACCATTTAGCGAAGTTTTGATCGGTTACAAGGTTTTCGTTTGGGAAATAACAATATCTTACTTGTAAGAAATTTTATTGATAGATCAAAGTCAGCACTAAATGCTCCTTAATTTTGTTCAAGGATGATCTTCTAAAAAAAACAATAGAGGATAAGAAAAGAAAGAGAGAGAGAGAGAGAGAGAGAGAGAGAGAGGTGGATGCCTGATGGTCAAATTAAGGATATATTCAGAATTATGTTAGGCAAATCTGGTATTTTCCTTTTTCTAATATATTCACTGTTAAACGGATTTACAAGAAAAAAAAAAGCAAGAAAAAGATGATTCGGCGACAATAAAAGCAGCGGAGCAACGGAACACTCCTCCCGTGCTTCACCGACACTTACCGTCTCCTCCTCATGGCGGCCGGTCATGAGCTCCACCCCCTCGTTTTGGTCCCCGGCCTGAGCGGAAACCAGCTCGAGGCCCGGCTGATGGAGGATTACCTCCCGCCCCTGCCCGCCCTCCAAGCTCCGCAAGCCGCTGGCTGGTTCAGGATCTGGATGGACCGCTCCCTCTTCCTGGATTCCGCCGCCCAGCGATGCTTCGCCCACCAGCTGAGCCTCTTCTACGACCCCGACGCCGACGACTTCCGCAACGTGCCCGGCGTCGACACCCGCGTCCCCTTCTTCGGCTCCACCGAGGGGTTACGATTCCTCGATCCCGACCGCAAGTAAGCAAAAGTCCTCCCTCCTTCATCCTTCTTTCTTTCAAGGTTTGGGCCACTGATTGATCTACAGGATCATGTAGTCCTCTGTTTTATTTCTTTTCTTCTTCATCTTCTTTTTGCACTGTTTCTATTTTACATTTGGGATCTGAAAACATGGTGCTATATTTTTCCTTTGATTTCAAGTAAGAAAATGACCATAATAATCAATAAAATTGACAATTTCTATTAGATTTTTTGCATATGTTACTCTTTCGAACTTTTTGGCCTCCAGCCAAATTATCCTAGCCTGGCACAAGGTTGACCAAATAAACTGTGTCCTTCCTGACCAAGAAATGAAGCACTGGTTGCAAATCATCCAAATATATTCTGTAATTGCAGATGCATTCTGAATGAGTTGTCTGATCTACTTTAGGATCATAATTTTGCATGATAAACCAAGTCTTTTAAACTATGACAAGTTTCCAGGGATTCTTCTATTTGCATGGATACCCTGGTGAAGTCCTTGGAAGAAATTGGGTACCAAGACAGCCTCAACCTTTTCGGAGCACCTTACGATTTCCGATACAGCCTCGCCGGCGGAGGTCATCCATCAAAGGTGGCTACTCGATACCTTCAAGATCTTAGAGAGCTAGTTGAGCAGGCCAGCAAGATGAACGGAGACAAACCTGTGATCATTTTAACACACAGCTATGGTGGATTGCTCACCCTTCATCTCCTTAATCGCAATCCTTCATGGTGGCGCCGAAAGTTCATCAAGCACTTCATAGCACTGTCCGCACCGTGGGGAGGCATCGTTGCGGAAATGTTCACGTTCATCAGTGGAGATACACTAGGGATGCCTTTAGTGGACCCCTTAACAATAAGAGAACAATTCAGGAGAACAGAAAGCAACCTTTGGCTTCTGCCTTTCCCTAAAACATTTGGAAACAGACCACTCGTCGTTACGAGAGACAGGAACTACTCAGCAACCAACATGGCAGAATTCCTGCAAGCAATTGGGTTCCAAGAGGGCGTAAAACCTTATGTATCTCGTATATTGCCGTTGCTAGAGGAGATGGCGGCGCCGGGAGTTCCAGTGACTTGCATTATAGGGGTTGGGGTGGACACTCCTGAAACATTTCTCTACAATGGTGAAGGAAAGTTTGACGAGCCTCCTGAGGTGGTTTCTGGTGATGGGGATGGGTTGGTGAATCTGGCTAGCTTATTGGCACTTGAATCAGAGTGGTCTGATGCTCCAGAACAAGAGCTCAAAGTCATCAAAATCCCAAATGCTACTCATGCTGGCATTCTCACCCAAGAATTTGCCGTAACAGAAATAATAAGACGAGTGTTGGATGTCAACTCTGTGCCTGCATGAATTGTATCCTTGTTGAGGGATAACAAATATTTGTGCTTCTAGAATTATTTTTTAATGAAAGCTTCCAAGTTTGGAAACTCTTAGAAAAATTATTCTAAGTTTTAAACTTAAATAATACATTCAACTATCTTTATTTCTATCAATTACATGAACTGTTAATGTTTTAGTTAGAGTAACTTTTGATTGTTCAGGCAATGTTCATCATCCATACATAACTTGGCACATGTACATCAACCAACAAAAATAGGCTTATGAGATGGACATCATAAATCATAAAAGAATATATTCTACAAATTATGAATGATTAGAAATCATAAACCTTATTATCATCTCGAAATTCGTGTCGTAGGACGATTCCTCCTATGCATGATTTAAAGCCGAATCAAATCAAGTCGTCTCTATAATATAGATCGATGATCGTTTTTGTAACTAACAATAAATAAACCACTCATAACAACTATTTCCACAAACTCTACACTCAAAATAGGGACAGATTGCTTTATTTCCACAAACTCTAAACTCAAAACATTCTGTCCCAACTTGCTTTATTTTCACAACCTCCACACTCCAAATCGGGACAGAAGGTCTCAGCTAGAAGCAACAAAAGATATGATTTCCATTCCAACTCCAATTTCAATCCACCGGTAAAAATAAACCTAACCTTCCTCCAAAAGCTATTGTCAAGAAAAAAAAAAAGAAAAAGGAAAGACACATTGAATAGACAAATCATTAACGTAAAAATAGCAAATATCATTAGTATTTATGTTTTAAATAATATTCAAAATACCTCTTACCAACCCTAATAGTACTTTTCTCGATAGGTAAAATATTTTGGCTAATTACAGTATTTTGACTATTATAACAAAAATAATTTTAAACCTACCTAAAATTATTGTAAATGGTACAAATTTACGTTATGCATCTCTATTCAAAAAATCTTTATCTAATAAACTGGTATACCGTCATCAAATCTGAAAGCTAAAGTAATATTGATTTAAAATAAGAGCTAGATTATCTTTTTTTCTCTCTTCCTATCTTTTCTAACTTTCATAAGACCGATACGAACGATAAATTAGAGATAAAGGAGAAGATGAAAGAATATCTATAATATCTAAATAATTGATTCTTTATCCCTAGAAGGTCTTATCCATTTTTATAGGTAAGAACAGAAGATGTAGGATGGTAAAGAGTCCCTCTCATCGATGCCTATCTCCTAAGAAATACTACTATAATTAGACTAAGGGGATATAAAGAGGAATAACCTTTGTATATGAACAAATACTAGAAGACCATAATACGCAGCGGAATTAAATAGAAACACAATCAAACAGAACACCAAGATATACGTAGAAAATCCCTTCAATGTGAAAGGTAAAAACCACGGGACAAACTAGAGATAATCCACTATGAGAATAATGAATATACAAATCTCAATCTCTTGCCCTAAACCCTAGCAACAACCACAAGAGAATAACTAGGATACAAGGATCACGTCACTACCCACAATATCTAAAACCTCCCTAAGATTTGATCTAACCTGAGATGAGAATAGTCTCTCTGCGTTGTCCTTGTCTTCTTCCCTTTCTTTCTCTTCCTTTTCTGCCTTTCTTTCTTCTCTTTGGAATTCCCGTGACCCTCAATCTGCCTTGTTGCTGCCTTTTTATAGCCTTTTTCTGCTTCTAAAACGCAGCCACCACACCCCCTAATCTTAATTAGGGTTAGGTTAAGAGGGGGTGTGGGCTGTGGACTGCCCTAGTCCACATGGGCTGAATATGGGCTATCAACCGAACATTAGACTTCCTTTTTATTGATCAGTAATCGTAATCAAAATCCAATCATATATATATATATATATATATATATATATATATATATATGTATATAT